GGATGGACACTTCTTGATTTCAGAACTTTATACAAAGCTATAATAATCAAGACAGTATGGTACTGGCAAAAAGATAGACAACAGATAAATGGAATAGAAATGATAATCCAGAAATCAACCCTCAAATTTATGGTAAATTGATTTTTTACAAGAGTATTAAGAGAAGTCAATGGAGAGAAAGAGTCTTTTCAGCAAACTTGCTGAGACAACCAGATAGCCACATGAAAAAAAATTAAGTTGGACCACTACCTCATACCATACACAAAAATTGACTCAGAATGGATTAAAGACCTAAATGTAAGAGCTAAAAATATAAAACTCTTAGAATGTAGGTGTAAATCTTTGTGAGTCTTGTAGGTGATGGTCACCTGGATATGACACCAAAAGCATAAGCTCCAGGAGAAAAAAATGCAGGGTCTGGCAGAAGTAAGACTTGCTTGAGTGTGGTTGGTGGAGCACATGGATGTCTCCCGTGAGATGGACAGCAGTGTGAACATTTCACCTGAAATGTCCTAGGGTGTGCTTCAGTGTGATATTGTTATGTTACAGAATTACATGCTTATGGTTTTGTAATAAAAGATTTTATAACAAAAAAGGGGCATTATTTGTGCCAGACCTGGTAGATAATCTGAACTTTTTCTCTGAAAGCTAAAAATCTTTGTGTTTCAAAGGACACCGACAAAAAAGCAAAATGACAACTCCCAGAACAGGGAAAAATTTGCAATCTATATCTGATATTTGTATCTAGAATATATAAAGAACTATTATAACTCACTAACAAAAGACAAATAACCCACTTTAAAAATGGACAGAACCTCTGAATAGACATTTTTCCAGAGAAGATATGCAAATGGTCGCTAAACACATTAATAGATGCTCAACATTATTAGCCACTAAGGAAATGCAAATCGGAAATCACAATGAGACACTACTTCGTACCCATTAGGATGGCTATCATCAAAAAGACATATAACAGGTGTTGGTGAGGATGGAGAGAAATTGGACCCCTCCTACACTCCTGGTGAAGGTGTAATACGATGCAACTTGGTAGCTCCTCAAATGGTTAAACATGGAATTACCTTATGACCTATATAATTTAGAATTATGTACTATAAAACGCGCTGATCTCAAGTGTCAATTGGTAAGTCCCCAAAATGAATACACTCCTGCAACCAGCGCACCAACTATAATACAGCCATTGCCCTCACCCCACAAAGTTTTCTCATGCCCCATGTCCAGCCAATCTCTGCCATGAAATCCTAGAGGTAACTAACTACTAGTTTGATTTCTAGTCCCACAGAATACTTTTGCAAAAACAAAACTGGTTTTGAAATTCATATAAATAGAATAATCTAGTCCTGTAACATTGTATATACTTTTATCTTAACACACAATGTTATTCCTGTTCGGTTTCATCACATTGATTTCAGCCTTTCCTTGCAGCTTGTTGTGAGCATTTTCATCTTGATTCCATTACCCATATCTGCAAATTTCCCCAACTTCATGCCGTCTACAGACTTGATCATTCTTCGTCTTTCTTCAACATAAAACGAGAACAAAGGTGGAGTCCAGCAGTACTTCGGTGGGAACCCCCCTTCCTCGCTTCGGACGTGAGAAGCCGTGGGGAGGCCCTGGCCAAGAGGAGGCAGGTGGTCGGGGGAGGAAAACCCCGGTGACGGAGAGGACTGAGGTCCGTCTGGGATGCACTGAAAGAGGGCGCTGGTGGCAGGCCATCCTAGTGGGGATGTGTGCTGGGGAGAGGCCAAGGCTGCGGGGGAAGCCTGAGAGCCGCACGCGTGGAAATGAGCACTGAGGTAGAGGGAGGTAAAGAACGAGCTCCTAAGGGGCAGAACCAAGGACAGATTAGTCACCCAAAGTCAGAAGGTCATGAAGGTTTCCAAGATCATTGCAGGAGTCCTGAGCTCCAGTTACTGTTCTGGGTTTGTGTTTTGTTGTGCTTGTTTTCATAAGTCCCGAATGGAGTCTGGCAGCTTATAAGGAAAATTATTTTCTTAGGTCTAGAATGCCATGAAAATTTTAAAATCACGGAGGGCGCTTAGTCTGTCCCCCTCTCCTCTCACTCTCCCAAGCTCGAAGCAGCGAGCCTTTGGGAAGAGGCTGAGCACTGGCTGAGGGTGGGGGCCGGGGGTAAGGACCTTTGCAACATGTTGGGGTCAGCTCTCATAAAGTAAACTCACCTTATCAAAATGTTCCTTAAATTTTTACTTTTTGATTCAACATTATAGGGCTTCTGTTTCTTTGACACGCACGTGGACTTAGGAATGCAGACAAGCGCACGACCTATGATTGAGGAAACCTGAACCGCAATCTGCCGTCATTGTCCGTGGGACCCACAACCTGTGGCAGGTCTCACCGACCTCATCCTCATCTATAAGTGCCTGAAAGCGAGTCTGAAATCTGCCTGGGTATCAGAGCCAGACACAGGTGGTGGGGTTCTGGAAACTGCATTTTTTTTGGAAGCTAAATTTTGATACCGGTTCACAGACTTGCATTTAGGAATCGCTAAACCTGGTAACGTCTCCTACAGTTCTACAATCTGTGGTTCTGCTCCTGTTTTACTCAGCGCACCTCAAACATATCTTAGCTGACCTCAAAGAGAACTGATCCTTTCTGGGCCATGCATTGATTTCATTTATTTGCATGAATTCATATACATAGTGATCAAATTGGAAAGAGTTTTGTTGTTGCTGTTTTGAGGTGTTCTCTGTGTGTGTGTGGTGGTGGTTTTTTGTTTTGTTTTGTTTTGCAGAAAAGCTTTAGGGAAGATGGAGGGACAGAAATAAAGCCATTGGGGATGGAGTGCCTGACTGTCTAGCATGGTTATGGGTTCATGGTAGGTTGACTTTCGATGGGAACTTCTATGATAGGGAAACAAAGAGATAAAAAGGCACGTCACTGCCCCAGTAGGGCCACACTTCAGGGCAAGAAGCTACCGACAGCTCATCCCCAGTGGATCAAACTGTGTAACCTTCGAGCATGAGGTAACAGGGCTCTTACTTGCCATCGGAGCTGTCACTGAGCTTGTAGGAAAATTAAATTCTCCAGCTTCCTCCATTCCCCATCCATTCCTTGCCACCGACAGATGATGAATGTAGACACATTCCCCATAGTCACCTGTCCCTTCGGAGCTCCTTTCCCCTCCCAGGCCCATCTCCCCTCAGGGAGCCTCTCACCAAGTCTTGTGAACCTTGACGAAGAGCAATTGCTCACAAGTGACAGCTCTTACTGTGTATCAGCCACTATGTCAAACACTTTCCACAGAGTATTTTATTTATTCTTATGAGGTAGGGAACATGATCCCCATTTTCACATGGGCAAACTGAAGCTTAGAGACTGCACTAAACACCGAATTGGGCAATTCCCCACTTTTGTCCCTTCTGTGAGAACCTGCAGCCAAAGTGCGTTGTTGCTGGCATGTTGGTACCAAGCACGCACCACTCCTCCTTGGACCAGGGGAGGAAGTTCACCCCAGTGCAGTTTCCTTTCCCTAGAAATGCAGGTTTGGATATAGAGACATTTGTCCTCACTGCCAGGCCCTTTATAAAGGTGGGACTGTAAAACCAGCATGTGGCCACGTGTACCATGAAGGCCAACTGGGAAAGAAGAATCAGGTGCGCTGAGTAAAACAGGAGCAGAGAACTTTGCAACTGCGGAGAAGATGAAGAAAGAGGCCACACCACAGTCCACTGAGACCCTCCCAGCAGCTCCCAGGTTTCCTGAGAGTCTCTCTTCTTCAAATCGAGTACTCTATTTTGATTAAGATAATTCGAGTGGCTTTCAATTATGGGTAACCAGAGGGACTTGATGCAGAGAAGTTAAGTAAGTACCTGATGACACTTAGCTCCAGAAGGACAGGGCTAGAGCTGCAAAGCCTACACGGGTTTGTAGCTGCCAAACCGCTCAGGCCTTGTCTCCCTCCCACAGGCTGGCAGGGCAGGGGGTGGGCATTCCCTACCAGATCACACTGTTTCTTTGTCCCTTCTTTCACCCCCGATACACTTTCCCAAGGAACCCGCAGGGCAGCATCAAATGGGAAGAGAAGTTACTCAATGACGAGTCTGTCTAGGAAGAGAGAAGGGCAGCGCCATTTTGCGGGGTAGGGATGGGGAACTATGGGGCAAGTTCCTGATTTTACTAAGTCGCGGGTCTTTGCAGGAGCAGGTGCAGCCACCTCCTTACCCAGCTAAGCAGATGGCTTGGGCAAGAAGGGGAGGGGCCAGGAAGGAAGAGGGACAGCTTAGTCTTTGGAGTAGGAACTTGGACCGTGAGGTCTCCAGGCCCAAGTCCCTCAAGGGAACTGTATACAGATTTGCCCCAAATGTGCAGTCAAACCAGGTGAAGCCCAAAGAAAAGTGGGTCAAGCCTTCTCTGGGCAGAGCCATGTGCTCCCTCGGAGCCACTTGAAGTCTGCAGCTCCTGGAGCTCCGTTTATTGACTCTGTTTATTTCCCTAATTTGTCAAGTACTGTCTGCAAGCTTGAACTGGCCTCCTAAGTGCTCGGCTTCTATCCCGCCTTGCAGGCTTCACCAATTTGATTAGCATACCCTGCACTCCATCTTTGGAGTCATTAATGAAAACGCTGATGAATTCTGGGCGTGAGTCAGATCGCTGGGAGGCCTCTCCTCAGCTGCAACCTCTCCTTGCCTGGCTAACATTCTAGCAGGGATGGCCCTTCTTCTCAGACCCTTTCTGCCCATTGTTCAAGACTTTTTGTCCCCCCCTTTTCATCCATGCATTTATTCAATCATTCATTAATTGTACTAGGGCGACGGACTTACTACAATTCCTGGCAAATGCAAATTCATGGAAAATGCGTAACAACAGCAAGCTATCACTACCATGAGGTGCTGTGGGGAAACAAAAAAGCACAAGACAGACTCCAGCCCTCAATAGTAAGGACAAGGATAAGAATAGCAGCTTCCAGCGGACCTGGTACCTTTTTTGTGGGAGCGGCAGCTGAGGAGATGCCGGCGCTCACCATGGTTGAGGAAAAGCCCAAGGAAGGAGTCAAGACTGAGAACAATCATATTAATTTGAAGGTGATGGAGCAGGATGGTTCTGTGGTGCAGTTGAAGATTAAGAGGCAAACCCCACTCGGTAAACTAATGAAAGCCTTCTGTGAACCCCAGGGTTTGTCAATGAGGCAGGTCAGATTCCGATTCTACAGGCAGCCAATCAATGAAGCAGACACACCTGCACAGTTGGGCATGGGGGCTGAAGACACAGTTGATGTGTTCCAGCAGCCGGCAGGAGGTAGCTACTAAAAGGAGTCTGCTCCTTTCCTCCAGAACTCTGTCCCTCCAGACCAAGACGACATTCTCAATGAGAAAACTGCAATTTGGTTCCACCACATCCTGACTACTACAGTATCATTTTCTCTATTCTTTCATTTTCCCTTCCCTCATTCCTTTATTGTACACAAAGTAACTGATGTATGTGCACAAGTATTTGCATTTTTTTTTTACCTAAATGGCCAATGGGACATTTTGATTGACAGTAAATGAAGATGGGATGGGGGAAATGCTGGTCCTTTGAAGACACCCCCTTTCTCCCTCAGTGGCAAGCTCCTTCAGCTCTTATCTTTGTAGTCCAGTATGTTATTTTGCTCTCACTATTTAACAACAACAAAAAAAGAACAACATAAAAACCCTTGCATACCTTGTTTGACTGGAGAATTTTGATGTTTTTCATTTAGCATTGTAAAACCAAGGACAATTTTGTAACTTTTCTCTATGGAGCTGTTACATGTAGGGCAATCTGTCTTTAAGTAGGGATAAATTACTCTAAAAGAAATGAATCCTAGGTAGTTTTTCCCTCAAGTCAAGCGTATTGTTGTTTAAATAAACCTCTTGTTTAAAATGAAAAAAAAAAAAAAAGATTAGCAGCTTTTTCCACTTGGCAGTGCTGGGCTAAGTATTACGCAGATACTGTCCAGCATGTGCTAGAGATTATCCACTCTAGGGAGGCAACTGTGGGCAATGATTAAGAGTAAGAATTCTGAAGTTTTTATGCTGTCTCTTGCACGTACTGTCTTAAACTTCTTTGCCTCCGAGTCTCCCTTTGTAAACTCACCTCCTAGAGTTGTTATAAGGGTTTAAATCATTAAATAAGGTAATATAGAAGAGGTACTTGTTGCACTGTTCAGCACATAATAGGCATTCAATAAATACTAGCTATTATTATTACTTCATGCAATACAACTACATGATATAAGGTATTATTATCCATGTTTTATCAACAAGAAAGCTGAGGTTTAGCAGGATAAGTAATTTGCCCAAAATGCTTCAGCCAATAATGGAACTAGGGTCCAAGCCCAAATCTGTTTGATGGCAAATCCCATTTTTTATTATCATGACCTAGAAAGAAAAAAGAACATGCATAAATAACTATTTCACAAGATAGAAATGCAAGTGAGACTGGGAAGTGCTTAATTTTTTCAAGACACAGAGTAGATTTTCAGTAAATACTACTAAATGATGATAATGATGATGATGTCGACAAAATTATAAGCACCATACTGAAGTTTTAGAAAAAAGCATTTTAGGGTATCAGAGGAAAGAGATCGTTTCTGAATAGAGGAATAGCTGGAGACCTTCTTGGAGAAGGCGCCATTTGAGTAGACCTTAGCAGATAGATGAGTATGAGCTAGACTCAATGAGAAAAGAGTGTGAATTCTGAGAGGAAATATATCTGTCAAAATGAACTTCTCATAGCTCACTGAGCCCGAATTCATAACCAGAATCTAGTGGCCATTGCTGACAGAGGCTTCTCACGCACCCTGCGTTTCAGAAAAAGCCATAGACTGAGCTTTCAACCTCCTGTAGCACGCTCCTGCCGCCTGTGTCAACCAGTATAAGACAGCTTCCGATTTTGTCGTTTGACCAATGGACTGACACACCTGTCCTGTCCAATCAGAAGTGCACAATTTTATCCTTATTGCATCTAAACTGACAAGTAGGAACTGCTCTGTAACAACCAATTAGAATGCACAGTGCTGACTAATCAGAACTATACAATTCAGACAGATCTGAACTGTACAAATTTTGGAAACCTCATTTGCATAAAATTGAACCGATTAGGAACCTGGGTGGGAACTTTATCCGTAAAAGGTGGCCTCCCCTTTGTCTTGGTAGAACACATTTTTTGTCTCCATCAGAGACAGTGTTTCCCCTTTGCAAACTGCTCACTTGGATAAAGTTTCTTTTTTTTTCTGCACCTCCTTGGCAATTTTTGTCGACAAAAGAAGAAGGCATTCCTTACAGAGGAAACTGCATGAGCAAAGGCATAAAAATGGGAATGTTTAGGGTGTGTTTGAAAAAAAATAACAAGAAGTTCCATTCAGATAGCATGTGGTATGTTGAAAGAAATAGTTGGGAATAAACTAGAAAGTATTGGTAAATCAGGTCTTGACCAAAAACACTGACCAAAGTAGACAGATTTCCCATACTCCAGGAGTCTCCTAAACTCACTGCAGAAAGTGCCATAGTAGGGATTTGGGGATGAGGAAGGAGACTTCTTTAACATTCAAGCAAGAGTGAGTTCCAGAACTGTGCAACAGGGCTTAAGTTTGAGGTAGGGGCAAAACAGGACTGACATTTGGCCAATTCATGTTTGTAAACATGAGTTGTTAAAATACTAGTGTTTTGAACCTCGAGGACATTATGCTAAGTGAAACAAGCCAGTCACAAAAAGACAAATATTATACGCTTCCACTCACATGAAGTATCTAGAGTAGTCAAAATTATAGAAACAGAAAGTAGAAAGATTGTTGCCAAGGGCTGAGGGGAGAATGAAAGGAGGATTAGTGGTTAGTGGGTATAGAGTTTCAGTTTTGCAAGATGGAAAAGCTCTAGAGATCTGTTGCACAACAATGTAAATACACTTAACGCTACTGAACTAAGCTGTTAAAAATGGTTAAGATGGTCAATTTAATGTTATGTGTTTTTTACAATAAAGTAAAGAAAAAGCAAATCCCACCCCACCCCCCCAAACATATTAAAGTGCTTTCCATCCACTGTAAACGGCCCTGCCTGAGCCACCCAAGGCCCCCTTCTCTTGGACCCTGGACTTCCTTGACACTCAGCTGTAAAAGGATTAATGTCTGGCACTATTTTGAAGATCACCCCTGGGGCTAGGGGACTTGGCTGGAAGATGAGTTTGCACAGCACTTTTCTAAAGATGGAAAAGAACAACGTCTGTATCAATGAATGGGGGAGGCGGGCAGGGAGGCTGCTGAAGTGTTGAAAAAACAAACAGACCTAACCGCTGCCCTCTGGCCTCAGATATTTCTCAGGCCAGGTCCTTGCAGAAGAGAGCAAGCACTGCCTGGACCTCTCTTCCTGCTGAGTCACTGGGGTGCCAGCCCTGCCCAGCCAGGAGACTGTTACATGGGAGTCGGAAGGTACAGACCAAGAGAGGGTCCCTTTCTGAGCCCAGGGAGACCACAAGAGTCCATATCAGGACAGCCAGAACTACCACCACGCTAGGCACACACCTGACTGTCTACCGAGTGGACACCTGGTTTTCTTGTTGCTCCTAGCATCAGATACCCCTCATCCCTCCATTAGCTTGGCAAGGCCGTGGAAAGTGCCAGAAAAAAACAATCCTAATGGGTTGGTTCTTGGCAGCTTTGGCTCTGTCATTTCTCTTCCTAATGAACCAGCGGAGCACTGGATCTATTGGTACTGGATCGCTCCTGCCCAGCTCCCAATTCATCATCTGCGAGGTGGTACCGCTCCCTCTGCGGTGACAGGAGGGAAGCGGAGGTGCAAGCTTGGGGCCTGCTCTCCTTTTTGATGCAACTTTCTCCTCCTGCCCCAAGCACTGGTCTCACTCTGCCCTCCATTTTCATCTGATTATTCCACTCCCCACAGCCACCTCCCTCCTACCCCAGCCCTTCACCAAAGACAGCCAAGTGGGGAGGAAGGGGTCCTGAGGCAGCGCCCCTGACTAGGCCAAGGTCCACGGGCAGCTGCAGAGGGTCGGGTGTGAGCGGCGCTCCAGGATGGACAGTGACTGCCACGCTCTGAGTGCCGGGTCCTGTGTGCAGCGCCCTGCTCCTCACCGGGGAAGACAGGCCCACCCTTGAGCCAGGGAGCAGTAGGAAGGAGGTGCTGGACCTCCAACATACACCCTTCTGCTGGGGGAGAGTGTTTTTTTAATAAAAGTCAGGGCCTTCCATCTCTCTGGCGTGGAGAAAACCTAGAAGACATCTGAAAGACCTGAACTCCTTCACCCTTGGGTGTGGCTGCTGGCGGAGGAGTTTCCAAGGGGTCTCTCCTGAGAGGGAAGAGGAGACCCCAAGAATGGCCCTGAGGGACTGAGAAAGGGAGAAGGGGTGAAGGAAATGTGGGGGAGGGGTTGTGATCATTTAAATGGCCTTGGTCGGCATGTCAGCCCTCCACATGCAGTGAGCGGGCCCCACCTTCCCATCCTCAGCAGGTTCCTAGGCATGCATGTGTGTTGTTCATCTTGGCCATCCAAATCTTCCCTGCAACAGCGGTGCTCTCTCTTCTCCCCCCAGCCTGGCCTGATGCTCACCCCAGAGCCCAGAGAGTGCCAGAACGACATCACCCCTTCTGTGTGGAACCCACCTTCCATTCCCTGCCTCAACTCCTCTTCTCTACAGCAGTTCCCAAGTCTCGAGTTGACTTGTGTTAATTTGGGAACTTGTATCAGCTTTTCCTGGGCATTACCAATGTTGGCCAGGCCACCCCCCAGCCTGGTCACCCCACGGTGGCCCTTTAGTCAGTTTGCCATGGCTGAAGGGAGCCTTCTCCTACATGCAGAACTCTTAGCTACACTTCATAAATTCATACTTACATGGATAACAACACCTAATTTTTATAAAACTTTTCAAGTGTCAGGCACTGTCCAAAGCGTTTTACATACATTACTCATTTAATCCTCAGAATTCCACAAGGCCTAAATGATTGTTAGCCCTGACTGACAGACTGAGGAAAATGGAGCATAAACTTTTGGTAACATACCCAGAGCTGCTTGTAAGGAACAGAGCCCAGATTCTGCCCCAAGCTATTAAAAAGCCCAGGGTGCAGGCCTTTCCCAGAACATCATGCCATGGGGCCACCTGAGATACACAAGACTGATACTCAGTCCTTTCCTTAGCACAGGTGGTGATGGGTGGGGAAGCGCAGGAGGAGGCAGATGCCTGAACGAGGGAGGGGAAAGAACGCAGAAAGGGGGCTGGAGCCAAAGGCCACAGAGGACTGGGACTCGCTCTCCGAGTTCTGCGAGCGCTGGCTCT